AAAAAAAAAAATCCATGGCTGGGGGAAAAGTTCGATTACTTCAAACAACTTGCCCTTTTCATGTAGTTCATGTAAACAAGCTATCTAGATTTTAATTGATTAACGTCGGTTGTTTTACTCAGGTGTCCGTAAGCGCTTAAACAAATTTGACCGCAGGAACATCTGAGGTCTTTCTCCTCCAGTTAAGCTGTAAAGTCGTTGCGAGAGATATTTATCCACCGCAATATAAAAATTAAAGAATAATTGAAAAAAATGACCGTTATATGAAAAGTTCACATTTACATTTCCTCTGCTTATGACACTTTTTCTAAAAACGTTACCTTATCTTTTAATATAAAATATAATTTTCCGGGCTTTGGCGGGCCAGGCGTTGAAAGCAAAAAGCTTTAAGTTATACAAGATGCTGGCGGGATTCACGGAATATTATGGCTTGGATGAGATCACTATTATTCGAGGCGTTGGACGAGAGTTATATTTATGTCAGAAAGGCTTTATATGCCCGTATATCCTGTCAGTACTCTGTTAAACGAACTTATAATAACGCAAATTGTAAGAAAACCCGTCACCCAAGACAGATTTTTAAAAAGCAACATTTTAGAGTAAAGAGGTATGTTAAAATTAAAGTGTAAATGAATTTCTTCAAGTAAATTATATTCGAAAATTGCCAAAGAAACTTAGTAACAATACACATATTCCGCAACGGTTCGGACTTATAATAAAGGATACAAAAGGGTGAAGATCAGTCTATAAAGTAATGCAGTATGTAGGGCATTTTTCTAATTCTTTACTAAAATTTCTTTACTAAAATGGCGAGATGAATTATGAGATATTACAAAAGCGAATTTGTTTAAGGAATTCAATATATGATACGAGTTGAGATCCAAAGAATATATATATAACAATTAAGGATTAACCATAAAATACTGGGACCAAATCACTTGCTGAAAAAATTAAGCTTACTAAATTATATGAAGATTGTCCGTTTTGCCAAAGTCAGAGTCAAAGTTAGCCAAAAACTTTCAATTGATTAAACAATTCTGGCTGCAACTTCATTTTCAATTAGCAAATATATGTGGTATGATTTTCAATGATTCAAATATTTCAGATACATTATTTAAACAATGTCTAAAACAGGGATAATATTATGCACGAATAACTTACTATATTATAGTAAAAAAAACAAAAGACATGCATAAGAAAATTTTGAGGCGCAAACCATTGCTTATTTAATAATGACAATGTTTTGTCATACAAGTACGAAAAATGTGAAAAGTCATGGACAAAATAATAGTTTTTATAGCATGACTAGTACTGCAGATAAATCAGAACCAAGAAAAATGTTGTTTTTTTTTTGTTGTTGTTGTTGTTGTTGTTTTTTAATTATAACCCAACACTTTTATGTTATCTGGTCCTTCGTCGCCTTATTCGCAAACTTGCTGATTCGTTTGTTCTTTTTATACTTTCACTAATAAGTGTCAGTGAGAAGGAAACGTTGTAAAACCTTTTATCTTTCTTCCTCTCTAAAGCTTAGTGTCTTTATATTTTTAACATTTGTATTTATACTAGCAAGACAAAAGATAGCAATTTTTATTTCAAAAATGTCTATAAATCTGTATACATATACTATGTAAAAGGAGAATAGAAGTCATACTGTAAAAGAACGTTTTCACATTGACAAATTGAAAATTGTAAAAAACAACTTATTCTTTCAAGCACTGTTGCATAAAATAGTATTGCCTATCACTATATCGAATGAGCTGATCTTATGGTGAATTTACTCTATACTTTGTGTAAGGGAGACTACTCTTATGCCATTCATGGAAAAAATGTCACTATGCGTGGTAGAGTTAACTCGCTGACAATTCAATTTCATTAACAGTTGATATTTTAGTCTTTCCTTTCTTCTAAGGTGTTGTAAAATAATTCCTAGCAACATGCTCTAGGTACGGTAGATTATTCATCCATTCTCAACATATTACCATTTTTGAAACGTTTTGAGATGATTCTGTTTTTTGCCCAGTAGATAAATGAGTTACCTAAATATTTGATAAAACTATATAAATGAGCTGCTTAATCGCAGAAGAGATACACGGGTCATTTCAACTGATAATTTGTGAAGAAGCTATTTACGTACAATATACATGTTATTCTGTCTTTGAACAAGTATAACAGATTTACACTTATGACTTGAATGTAGATACTAAATATGTGAAATTGTACAATAAAAGCAATACTTTTTGCAAAACATGGCAGTTAGCTTTGTCTAGAAAGGATTTAATAAGTTTTATGATATTTGAATTGAGACATTTGCCCTCAAGAACAAAACGCCTAAGGAACAAAACACCATAAAATATTCTATGCTCAAGTATTTAACCGTTTATTATGTAGAAATACATTTGTACAAAAATAAATATACATACTTATGAGGTTTACTGGAACATTTTGTACCGAAAATGCAATTTCACGTGTTGCAATCGATTTAGGATCACCTAAATATAATTGTTCTTGCCTATCAAAAGTTTAGAAAACAACATGAACAACATATAGAAATAGTATAAAAAGAAAACTTTACAATATTGTGAACACCTTTTATGAGTACCTCAAACCCTCGTTTTGCCTACGGGGAATTTAGTTAAGATGAATTGAAAATAGGCTAATATGTATAATTCGTGTATGATAAGATTTTGGATTAAAATATCACAATGCGAATATACAAAAAATATAACACAATAACGTATAGATACCTAAAGAAAAGTCTCTTAAAGTCTGAATAAAAATGAGCACTCAATCAGAAAAAAAATTATAACAGGACATAAAGACTACAAGCATTTTCGTGTTTTAGATATCAGTCATATTAAGACATTGCTAAAATAAAGGAGTTTGAAAACGCATTAACAAAACTGTTAATGTCAGCCAACTATCTTGAAGTAAAAAGCAGATAGATGTCATAAGCCTTATTCGATCAAAGAAAATGTACACTATGTAACACTCTTGACGATGAATTTCCTTTTTTATTCGAATGTCTTCTGTACTTATATTTTGGACAAACGCATATGAAAAACTATTTTGGAGGATACCTAATGCAATAAGTTAGAGAATTACTTGAATCTGAAAATGTGTTGATAATTAAAAGTAATCGATATCTGTTTTCAAAAGTTTTAATAAAGAAGACAGTATACTGTATTCACGATAACCATATCCTCTGACTGTATCGTGTATATTATATATTAGATATGTTATGATAATGAATAACTTTGTAATAGACTTGTTACATGTACATCATGATTACATTGATAATTGATATATTTTGTAAATAACTATTGTATTATTACTATATATTTATTGGTATACCGCCTTTGTATAAATCAAAACATTTAAAAACATACACAAACTGTTTTCAGTGTCTAATAATTCCATATCAAATCTATAATGTAATCTAATTTCAATTGCAGTTTGTACACATCTACAATTTCTATATTGAACTCGGCTAAGCGCCTCGTCGGATATAATAGTTATGACAGCTGTGCACTCGTCCAATAGAGTTCAGTTCTGTACTATTCAATGTTTAGAAATTTTATGATGTTTAACAGTACCAATGATGCACACGATGTCCAAACTATTTAGATAATTATGAATAAATTTGTCTACACGCGTTATAAGTACGAGTTAAAAGTATGGTTACATATCTTTTGTTATAGAGGATACATAAATTGTCTCATCACAATATGTGGGTTTGTTTAGATAAAAAAACAGACAATATCTAAAAGGGTGTCCTTCATGTCTAACTCGATGGTGGATCTGTTATCTGTTCAGTACAATGAAGTACAGTCACACAATACAATTTAAAATAAAACACAATACAATACAATTAAATCGACAAAAAACAATCATTATAAAGTTTTTTGTTCTTTTCTGGAGAGGGAATATAAAGGGTTTAATTTGGCCCCCACTCCCCTTTTTTGGTATAAAAAACTTTAAACCTGAAATTGGGAAAACGGGGAAAAGTATGAAAAATGGTAAAACTGGGGTCAACAAAGGGAAAAGCAACCCCCCCAGCACGACCCAAACAAAAAAAATCAGCGGCCCAAAGGGGCCCAGGGCAGTTTTTTGAATTGTTTTAAATTTTTAAAAAATTTGGGAAAGGGAAAAGAAAGAAACAAATCATTTTTAAATTTTAAAGGGCACTTAAAAGAACATTTAAAAAATATGTTATTTTAAGGGGAAGTCTTTAAAATTAATATATGAAAAATTGATCCAAAGAATTTTTTTCCCCCATGTTTGGCCCTTTTAAATTTTTGCCTAAAAAAACAATATTTTTTTAGGTTTTGTGTATTTGAAAAAAAAAATCAAATTTAACTTTTTAAAGGGAAATTTTTTGTTACGGGTTTCTTTTTTGGGAAAAGACAAACTTTTAATTTGGATTTTGGCAGTAACTTGAATTATCGTATCAAATCACTTCTTTTATTTTGTACATATAGAGATGTAGCGACAAAAAGCTTACAAAATATATTATCTTACCCACTGTTGTTGGTCCTGTCTGTGTCCGTATTTCCCAGTATGATTGATCAACTGCAAAGGTTCCACTAACGTTATTGATAGATTCGATGAAATATCCCAACCCAGAAAAGTATGTTGCCGTGAATCTGAAGGATCAATTATTCCGACATAAAAATTATACTGTTTGAATTATTTGATTGACTATCAAATTTTGATGAAGTCATATCATTAGAAAAAGACTGCATTGCTTTAGAACATAGCTTTCAGAACATAAAAAGTTGTTTTTTAAACAAGCCTGCTTTTTTATCTTTCATATTAATTTATTACATTGAATACTCTATGACGTAATCTTTGATTGCTCATAACGTAAACGGAATGGGGTCCAAATAATAGAATAAATACAAATAAGCAAAATGCATAGTTATATTCTGTTATATAAATCACACCAAATTATTGCATAAATATTTCAATGGTTCTACATGTAGAAGTGGACCACTTTATATATTTTTTCTTTGTCGGATTGCGTGATTTTGAAATACTCCCCATATGAGCTAAAAACATTTGTACTACTAATAATAAAAGATGTATCGAGATTAGACAATGCAAATATTGTCAAATGAATTGACACTATAGAGATATATAACTGTGACATACTTTGTAAAAAGTGTTTTATTTTGATCAACTGCCCTTTCCATGTAATCTATCAGGGCACTGTCTTCATCTACGATTTCCATGGTAACGCTGTTGTTGAAAAATGGTTCTCGTAGCTGATTATTAATAGTATATGTGAAGTGCTTTCTATAAATATGAATAAAAATGCATTTTATTCACTGTATCAAATGTAAAATAAAATTAAATGCACTATCCATTTTGAATATGTGCTTAAATCGACAATCATATTTTTATTTCCAATAATTATTGATAGTATTCGTTGCTCTCATGTAAAACGGATGTTTCAGTTTCACAGTTTCAATAAAACAAAGAATTAGTAAATAACACTAACAGAATTGTAACTGCCGTCAAATGACTGCTTGAAATATTCGAAAGCGTATAAGTTTGACAAAACAAATTTAAGCGTCGAAGGTCGGCCATTTTGATTCCATGTACATTTACTACAGTTTCTGGGCACATTGTGTGGAACAATTGCTACATATATGTACATTTGGCATATAAAAACAAAAATCAAAACTTTGGAAAAACTTTATTTCCTTCATTGTCATATTAAAGATGATATTTAATGATATGATATTTAATCTCTGAAAAGAGGGGAGCTTGGAAAAGATGAAAGTTTGTTACAGAAATATCAGGCATATTATTTGAAACCGTTTTATTCGAAGGGATTGCAGTTTCGCAACCGGAATGATGAGCAGCTAGCAGAATCAGGTACTGTCATACATTATGACTGCACATGCTCTAATTTTTTTGTAATAGTAAAGTTGGCTTGAGGAAGGTCACACTTTGCGAGTCAGTTTTATAAATAAAACAATTTGAAGGCGTTTTGATGAGTTTCGAGTCCCATCAACACCGGTCATACGGCAACGTCTTATTGGTTAAACTTATGTATCCATTTGCCTGTAGTCACTCGAGTAGAACAACCGACCATACATGACAAAATACGAGGTAACTGGTGGCATTCGAACCCAATGAAGAGAGGGGACAATGGTCCTAAGTCAGGTCAGCAATCTTAAACGATTGGTTACGAAGCCCTATGTTATCGGTTGGTCGTGCCTGACATAATGCATCTCTTAAAGATCATGTTTGGTTTGTAATTGATATTGTTACTGTGTGTATACCACACTTGCAAAAAATATATGTATATAATTATGCAAATAAAACAATTTTCAAACATCGAAGAATATGTAAAATGTGTACTGCATATATTTGTGCACATTTTATTTTATCAATACATTACATGCATTCATTTCTTATTGGAAAATTTGACTTAGAATTTATAGATAATAAATTTCTAATTACCTCCCTTTATTTACATGAAATGTTAAATTCGGTAATATCTTTATAAATAATTCTTATTGGAACTTACAATATTGACAAATTTTAAATTGAACATCATAGTTGAAATAAACCCTGAAAAAAAAATGTGTTGCATGATCTTTAAATAGAAAGTCGCATTCGCACGACTATACGGTAATATTCAACTTATAATTCGTCGAATTAAAGATATATCAATAAATTAAAGCAGCAGGCCTCCAGATAGTTTAAGAATAAAAAGGTTTGCATAGGCGTGAAGCGATTAATGAATCAATATCAATGGAAATACACAAATTCTACCGGGGAATCACGAATTTTATCGGCGAATCACGAATTTTACCGAAGAATCATTGATGCTATGAATCAAAATGTCAGGATCACAGACAATATCGTTTAATTCGCAGACTGAAAAGATTGAATACTTTTGAATCAATGTTTTCAGATGTACGATTTCGCTTTTTACATTATGTAATTAGTTTTAAAGGTAAATCAAATAAATACGCTATCATACACGTGGCTAGAGCAAAGTTAAAATGATATCTGATGATAAAACATTTCCTGAAGAAAGTGAGCGTTAAATGTTTTTGTTGTTGTTATTTTATCATTAAAGTATACTTTTGAAACGAATATAAATTAAAAAAAACACATTTTCCATGAAGTCAACAAAACTTCCGGGTTATGTAAAATGAGCTGTTCGTTATATTACAATTTGTTCATATCGTGAATAAATTTATTTTTACACGCTATTTTGGGATTGGTATTTCGTACTTAAAAACAAATATTTCATTCCGTTCTGTACTAAAGGTTTGCAAATATATTGCGCAGTAAGGATATTAAAATTACTTATATACCACTCAGTGTAAACAGTTTTCAAAATGTGTATGTAAACAAGGTATATTAAGAAAAAAATAATTTCAACATATCTCACTAAAATTATAAACAAATAGACTACAATTGTATATCCGAAATAGATGAACATTTATCGCTAGTTATTATAAAAGTGTTACTGTTTAAACATATTTATTCATTATGCCCATCCAAGGGTATATTGTGAGTAAACAGGTGAAAGTCAAATTAAGTTTAAATAATACAATGACACCTTTCAGTGTAAAAATTTCCTTCGTATGAACGATAAATAATTTACGTGACTTCATGATAAGATTGGGGCGGTTTGATATAAATAGGCATATCAATATTTTATCCTTAGCATTTTAAACCATCAACAGTTGTACAATCAACATTATAACAGACAATGATTTCAGATAAATTGTCTCTTCAACTGTTGCGATTTAAAATAATCACCCCGGGTCCAAAAATGTATATACATTTTTGTTTGGATATAACAAATGTATTTCTGAATCTTACTCTGTATTACAGTTGATGCAGTCAGTCTTTGGAGTGGTTGGTCCGTAAGGTACGGTCGTTTGTAAAGTTTTTGTAGTTTTGTCTCCGTTCTCTAGCCAATCTGGGAGGTTCTGGAATTATTCTCTACGTATTAAACATTATTCTTGAAAGCAATCTTTCAAACACAAATATATTTTAAATATATATATATATATATTTAAATTAAGTCATTAAAATAGTATGTTGAATCTGATTTGAAATAAAAATCATTCATTTTAAATGTTTATGTAAAATTATAATTATAAAATTGAGAAAAAATACACGTAAAATAACAAAAGAAAGGATATGATTTTTAATTTATATAAATTCAATATATACTTTGCAAGAAACTTCACTATCGGGCCCTCCATGATATAAGTAAATCCCAATTAGTATACCGCCGGCCAATCCAAAACAGAAAAGAAACACTCGATTAACTGAGCGACGCAAAACTCCCCGTTTTCCCTGACATAACTTCTTTCTTTTTATCTAGTTTCTTTAAAATAAAATGAATTTGTTTCAAACATTTAAGCTGTTAAATACACCAACTATCGTGTATGCTTATCCTTTTACGAATAGTGGTAAATTTAAACACACCTGTATTCACCACATCATCAACTAAGCGTTGCATTATTTTCAATTTAAACGCGCATCAGGAAGAGGTAAAGGAAACCTAATGTAGCCGAACGAATGTTTTTTACTTTTTGCCTTACTTTTCCGTCAAATAAGAATTCATTCACCTTAAATAATTTCTGACATTGAATTTCCCATAGCACTGTCTTCGGAAGCGTTTATTTCAGCATTTATTATAATCGTCGCGTTTATCTTGATAGGCTCAACGCGCGCCTAAAAAATGTGAACGTCTAATTAATAAGAAAAAAAATAGTAAAGCAGATGCACGTTAAAAACAGTTTCTGTCATTCATTCGTCCCCTCTTTAGATGATAAAATACGTAACCCTGTTTTGGCAATCGACCTTTAACTTATGGAAGTTCAACAAGAAAATGATACATGTAATTTCAAAAAGTTGAAATGAGCTTGACAATTGCATCACAAAGTTTTAATAATAATATTTTTCTTATTAGCGTCTAGTTACGCATGTATTACACAATCTTCATAAAAGCATTATAGCTGCATGCCTTAATATGGTTTGAGTATAAGGTCAAGAAATTGATCTATTATGCAAATTCATTCCAGATAAATTGTGTATGGATAGGAGGTGACAAGCGTGTTAGTACATTTTGTACTAAGAGGTTTTCCGAAAATGATATATGGCTTGCTAGAGAAATAAAAAAGAAAAGAAAGAAGTTTTATTTTGTTCGATCAAAGTTTGAAGATGATGTAGAAAATGAGATAAAAAAGAAGAAAAACAAAGGAAAACCAAAGAAAGATTTAGAGAGCATATTAAAACAAAAAGTTTATGAGGATTGCAAAAAGAATCTTGAAGAATTTGAATGTGAAGATAACATATTTGTAATTGACAGTTATGAAAAAGGTTCATACGATTTTGAAAGATTTGAGACGCATCTCATTCACGATGCTTTAAATATAAGTGACGGAAAGCATTTGGCGATCACATCTTGTTTGACAGTTATGACCATATCGACAATCAATGAAATGAAAAATGTTTTGGAAAAAAGAATTCCAAAAATTGCTTTAAGTGCAGCATTTGCACTTCGAATTAAAGATACAGATGTAACGATTCTGAAGGAAGAAATGGAATTCTACAAACAACAGTTCAATCTGGATGAAATATCCCTTCGAAGAGATGCCGAGGTTTCAAACATTACGGAACGTTTGTCGGAAATAGAAGAAAGTATGAAGCATATTGAAAAAGAATCCAATGAAATGGAAGAATTGAATGAAATTGACAACCTCATACCTTTTTTACCGTTAATAAATATCAGGAAAACGTACAAGGCAAGTAAAATATGGTTACAAAAGGCGCTGGAGAGAATAACTGAAAAGGCAGTTGATGTCAATTTAACTATGATGGAAGGATTGGCACACGATTGATAGAACCTGTCTCTTTTAAAAGGAATATGGTTTATCTATTGCACGAATGCAATCAAAAAGATTTGGTAATACATTTTGTTATTTTAATTTGTTAAATTGCACTGAGAGTGGTACAAATTGAGTATGACAATTTTAAATGATTGAAATAAAAATCCATGAATCCCCAAAACGAAAAACTGTTAATGGACAGTACTAAAATGAGCAAAGAACCATTCATGCACCAGAACCACTAAAAATTCTATTTCTTTTTTTCGGTGAATATTGTATCTTTTTCGTTTTTTAACACTACCAGTACGTTCCTTTTTTTTAAAGAAAGGCATATAGCTTCGGAAAATGTTTATTTGTTCTTAAAAAGACTTTAGCACATTTTATAGAGTATTCACTGTACACACAATGACTGTACGATAGCTGAAAATTAAATAACGCTTTGCGTTACGGTCATGCAAGAAAACTACACCGAAACGCAATAAAGGATAGTTCAGTTATATAGTATGAATGATTCCCGATTCACTTTTAGGCAATTGAAGCACTTGAAAACTTGCCATTTTCAAAAGTTTTTTTAGCATTATGCATTATAAGTTCTATCACAAATTGAAGAGAATTTTAAGGTCCATGGATGGTGCGATTGATTGATAGATAGATTGATTAACTTGATTAATTAGATATATACAAAAAGGTCTTATTATTACCAACAAACAAACAAATATTTGGCATTAACCCGGGTGTAACTGAAGTATGTATGACTTTTTAGCTGAATGGAAACAGACATGTATTTTAATGAATGTCCAATTTACGAAAGTGTTTCAACACATATTTAAATGAGCAATCATAGAACAAGTGACAGGGAACATCCCGTGTGAGCATTATAAAACAAAAAAGGAATGATGGCATGTAGTCTGCATTCAAAGACTTTTTTAGTTTGGACGTATTTCAATCTGCTGTTATTTCAAAATAAATGTGAATAAAATAAGACAAAGTACGTGCAATATCTAACGTATTACATAAACAATTTCAAGGACAGCAAACATGCAAATGTGTGTCTTTAAAATCATGTCCTTATCGTATAACTTTAAACAGCCTAGCAATAATATAACGTGGGTACGGTAATAATGTCACCTCAAGGTACCCTTGAAATATCGGTAAAGATGTTCTAGTTTTCAATGACCTGATCTTAAGATTATTCCTAAACTGTTTATAAAAAATTTCCTATTTTTAAACAGCAATAAATTTTTCCGTATATAAATCATTGGTGTTGGCTGATATCCTATTGACTTAAACAAATTAAAGAGAAATGTAAACGTATTTAAACATAAATCATACAACGAGGGTTTGCCACCTACTTTGCTTCTTGTTTAAATTCTGACGAATGGTTGATATCATTCTGACAGATAAAGTATTTTTTACTACTTTTTATTTTTGTTATGAACAATAAGAACTGTATCATAGAACTGTGTCGCATGATCGCAACATGCAATTTAATATAAACACTCGTGGTATGACCTTTTTGGGTTGGTTTTACGTCTCACCAACACGTTGAAGATCATTTCAAGTTTTATTGGTGAATAAAGACTTTAGTCGACCCCCGTTTCAGACACGAACGGGCACTGGAGTAAATAAACGACATTCCCGCAAGATAGTTGGAAGGCTTCCTCACATGAAAGAATCCGTCGTCCCTGGCGGGATTCAAACTGCGACGGTAGGGGGCAAGTGGTTTGAAGCCAACGACTTTTTTCTCTTCGGCCAAGGAGCCCCAACACCACCGTGGTTTTATCTAGCTGTGTAATAACTTCAGATCCTCAATCATAATTAAAATTTATTAGCTTCTCTTAATGTTTGGTTTATGGCACCAGAATTTTTACGATTTTTTGACGGAATTGTGGAGAGCCATTTAACACTTTAATTGCTTTTGTGAGAATCGCACGATTTTGAGCCATTGTAATGAGAAATAATGCTGGTAATTTGCACTTGCTTCAGAAATATATATATATATATATATGTATATACATAAAAGAAAGAAAGTCATAAGCGGGAAATTATACATAGAAAAATCGCTCGAAAAGTCGGCACGCCGCAGCTGGACTCGAACCACGGGTCTCTGGTCTCTGGATTGCCGCTCCAGTATGCTAACCACTACACTACAGTGGCCGTTGCGTTTTCTTAGTGCTTATTAGCCTTCCGCTGGGGTGTTGTGGTTAGCATACTGGACTGACAATCCAGTGACCCGTGGTTTGAGTCCTAATCATCGTTAAACTTGTTGTCTTCTGTTATTTTTGTTCATAAAAATATATAACTAAAATGTGTCGTCACGCCACTGATGCCTGCAGGCAAAAATTTAGTCGATATAATAATTTTTAGTTCCAAATTTGTTTGCACAAACTATTTGTTCATTCTAAGTTCAAAGCCCTTTAGCTATTTAATGTTAACACAAACCATTTTTATACAAATTATACATTTTTAACAAAGTGAAATCATGCCAATCCAAGGGTATATAGTGAGTGAGCAGGTTAATGTCAAAATACTTTGTTATAATTCCTTTCAATTTAGTAGTTTACTGCACATAAACAATTAATATATTTCGTGACCCAAGAGGGTTTCTATAAATATCAATCGGAACATTCTCGTAACATTCAATTCATTACAAGAGTTGGACAGACTTTTTATATTTTAGGTAGATTCATATTTCGTAATAATTATTTTTCAACATTGTTCGTGAAGGTGGCAGCCTAACAGCCTAGCAGCCTGGAGTTAGCAGCCTAGCTGCTTAAAAACTAAGAATAGTACAAACATGAAAATGGTTGGAAATGCATCAGTAGCACTTACTTAGACTATTCCACGTCTGTTTTCAATATTGTGATCTTTAATTTTTAAGATATTGAACTTTTTTTCATTCTGACGCTTCGAAATTTGTGAAGTCAACAGTCTAACATCCTAAAAAAACTAAGGATAGTACAAACATGTGGGAGATGAATCGGTAGCACATACTTCGACCATTTTACGGCTAATTTCAAAATCTTGATCTTTATTATTTAAAATATTGAAAGTTATTTTTTTTGCATTTTCACGCTTCGAAATTTGTGAAGTTAGCAGCCAAGCAACCTAAACAAAACTAAGGACAGTACAAACATGAAAAATGTCGGCAATTAAACTGTAGCACTTACTTAGACCATTCCACACCTTTTTTCAATATCATGATCTTTATTTTTTAATGTTGAATTGTTTTTTTCCCTTTTTAAGATATTGAACTTTTTTATTCTGACGCTTCGACATTTGTGAAGTTACTAACAGCCTAAAGAAAACTAAGAATTGAACAAAAATGAAAACGACCGGAAATGCATCAGTGGCACTTAATTAGAGCCGACCCGTGGTCATCGTTGAGCGCAAGAAAGATTTCCGTGTTGCTTAAAGAACGTTCAGCGCTCGCGCTAGTAACGTGCATTGCTAGAAAGCTGTTTACATTTGGGTAAGCTTTGTCGGTATATATATACTGCACCACTGATTCTATAGTGGACGGACGAAGCCTTTAACAGAGAAGACTCGCACCGTGTCTTCCAGCGTCCACATCCGCGTATAAAAGTTTCCATTTTTTTCTTTTCATTGACACACCTAAAGGCTCATTCATTTGAAATGCTAAAACACCATGCTGGACTAAACATGTGTTCCAATAACATAGGAAGTAGTCTTAGTCTTAGCACATTTTCTCGGCGCAGAAAATGTGGTTAAAATGGAAAATAAGCGACGACATGTATGTGAGTTATTTATGATATGCTAGTTTGTATGGATATGTTTATCATGAAGTTGACGATGTTCAACGCATATTTATTTTAGGTCTATAAATGTGTTAAAACGTGAATAGATATACAATGCACATGTTTAAACGAACATATAAATGAACATGAAGATTATCAGATCTTGAAAACAATAGACATTTGCTCCATGGTTGCCGCATCCGTGGCCTTGTAGACGATAAGCCAAATAATTGAGCGGCGTGTATGCCTCTACATTTTTTTTATGATAAATTCACTTCGTATGTAAACAAGTACTAATGTTGCTGAAATGCAGCAATTGAGAAGCTCAGCGCAAAAATGCGCTAATTACAATACCTTAACAAATCATTCCTGCGCACAGGTCATTTTCTATTTAGATTAGGTACTAGTTTACATTATCAAAGGGAATCCAAGCAAGAAATGCAGCAAGTGACGATGACCTAGTACACATCTGATGACAATATATTCTTATAAACTTTCAATGGTTAATTGGATTTTACCAGAATATTGTACATATATATATATCATAGATGAATGGGCGGACGAAAGGCATTGTTCATCGTGAACTTTGGAAAGCTTGCTAGAGATAAGGATATTAAATGTATTTTCTTTGGATCATACAAAACAGCAGTCAAAATGAACAAAGTCTGTTATTTTTATTATTATAATTGTAACAAATATACAAACAGAATATAAAAATTGCAATAAAATGGATTAATATAGTAATATCACATGTACTTTTTTTCATTTCAAATTAAGAAAAATGGTTTCTTTTAATACCGGGGAGTTAAGATACAGTATTTATATTCTAAGTCCCAGATAAATACTGGAAGTAGAACACAAACTGGAATGAAAACTTTGAGATGAATTTTAAAACGACCAAATTGGGGATTTTTTGTTACACGCGTTAACAAAAGATAATGGTACATAAAAAAATCATGAATAAAATTGCATGGCATGTTTATATGGTGAAACATTATTTATCAATGGAAGACTGTTACCTGAATTTTAGACAGATATGAGGAAATTCACTAGTTTTGAAGCAATGGAAAAACCAACCTTAAACGATGTACACTTTTTAAAACCTAAAAGACACTTTTTGAAACATCAATGACACTTTCTGAAACATCACTGACACTTTTTAAAACATTAATGACACTTTTGAAAAATCGTTGACACTTTTTGAAACATACCTTATGGGAAAATGTATGTAAACGTACAAAAACTGAAACATGT